AGCAGTGTGCTAACTGGTATGGGATACGGCCTTAGGCTGACAACAATACACTCACTGCTCAAGGAACAATAGGATCTCACAGGCGTAAGTGGCACTGAGAAAACCGGACAGCTGCATGTAAAAGAATGAAATTAGAACACTCCCTAACACCATACACAAAAATAAACTCAAAATGGATTAAAGTCCTAAATGTAAGACCGGACACTATAAAACTCTTAGAGGAAAACACAGAAAGAACACTCTTTGACATAAATCACAGCAAGATCTTTTTTGACTTGCCTCCTAGAGTAATGGAAATAAAAACAAAAATAAACAAATAGGACCTAATGAAACTTAAAAGCTTTTGCACAACAAAGGAAACCATAAACAAGATGAAAAGACAACCCACAGAATGGGAGAAAATATTTGCAAAAGAATGAACGGGCAAAGGATTAATCTCCAAAATATATAAACAGCTCATGAAGCTCAATATTAAAAAAACAACCCAATCAAAAAATGGGCAGAAGATCTAAATAGACATTTCTCCAAAGAAGACATACAGATGGCCAAGAGGCACATGAAAAGATGCTCAACATCACTAATTATTAGAGGAATGCAAATCAAAATGCATTGATGCAATGAGGTATCACCTCACACCAGTTAGAATGGGCATCATCAGAAAATCTAGAAACAACATATGCTGGAGAGGGTGTGGAGAAAAGGGAACCCCCTTGCACTGTTGGTGGGAATGTAAATTGATACAGCCACTATGGAGAACAGTATGGAGGTTCCTTAAAAAACTAAAAATAGAATTACCATATGACCCAGCAATCCCACTACTGGGCATCTATCCAGAGAAAACCATAATTCAAAAAGACACATACACCCCAATGTTCATTGCAGCACTATTTACAATAGCCAGGTCATGGAAGCAACCTAAATGCCCATTGACAGACAAATGGATAAATAAGATGTGGTACATATATACAATGGAATATTCCTCAGCCATAGAAAGGAATGAAACTGGGTCACTTGTAGAGACGTGGATGGACCTAGAGACCATCATACAGAGTGAAGTAAGTCAGAAAGAGAAAAACAAATATCGTACATTAACATATATATATGGAATCTAGAATAATGGTACAGATGAACCAGTTTGCAAGGTAGAAACAGAGACACAGATGTAGAGAACAAACGTATGAACACCAAGGGGGGAAAGTGGAGGGGGTGTGGTGGGATGAATTGGGAGATTGGGATTGACATATATACACTAATATGTATAAAATAGATAACTAATAAGAACCTGCTCTATAAAAAAATTAATAAAATTAAATAAAATAAAAAAGATCTCACAGGCAAGCAAAGAACTGCCTGTCCTTGAACTGCATGGGGGAAACAGGAGCAAATGCCTGAAGAAAATAAAAAATTATTCCAAGGATTCCAGGGAAGAAAACTAGTGGGTAGTGTTTTTTCTTGTTTAATTAATTAATTTATTTATTCATTTATTTATGGTTCGTTGGGTCTTCCTTGCTGCGCACGGGCTTTCTCTAGTTGTGGCAAGCGGGGGCTACTCTTCATTGCAGTGCACGGGCTTCTCGTTGTGGTGGCTTCTCTTGTTGTGGAGCACAGGCTCTAGGCGTGCGGGCTTCAGTAGTTGTGGTTTGCGGGCTCTGGAGTGCAGGCTCAGTAGCAGTGGCACACGGGTTTAGTTGTTCCGTGACATGTGGGATCTTCCCAGACCAGGGCTTGAACCTGTATTCCCTGCACTGGCAGGCAGATTCTTAACACTGCGCCACCAGGGAAGTCCCTAGTGGGTAGTTTATTTTGTTCTTTTTTTTTCTATCGGTAGATATTAATCCAATGTTATCAGTAATCACTTTTTTTTAAAGTAGGTCTGGATGGACTCCATTGACTGTGCTTTTTTAAAAAATTTTTATTGAAATATAGTTGATTTATAATATTGTGTTAGTTTCAGGTATACAGCAAAGTGATTCATATATATATATATATATATACAGCACCTGGCCCATACATGACTGTACTTAAAATATGGGCTATGAATTAAGGATAATAAGACAAACAATCCAATGTTTTAAAGGACAAAAGATTCGAACAGATACATCAAAGAAATATATACCAATGGTCAAATAAGCATATGAAAAGATGCTCAGCATCACTGGTCATCAGAGCAATGCAAATACCACTTCCTACCCACCAGAATGGCTTAAATTAAAAGAATGACAATACCAAAAGATGGCAGGATGTGGAGCAACTGGAACTCTCAAACTCAGCTGATGGAACTGTAAAATGGTACAACTGCATTGGAAAAAGGCTTACGAGTTTCTCACAAGACATTCAATTACCTTATTCACTTACCCAGCAATTCTACTCATAGGTATGTTTTAAAAGAAATAAAAGCATATGTGTACAAAAAGATTTATATAAGATTCTTTATAGAACCTTTATTCATAACAGCCACACGCTGGGAATAGCCCAGGTGCCCAGCAACCGGATAAACATGTGGTGGTCTAATCATACAATGGAATACTACTCGGCAATAAAAGAACCATGGATACATGCAATGACGTGAATGGAATTCTAAAACATTTTTTAAAATCTTAAAACATATTTGCTGAATGAAAGCAGCATTACACAAAAAGTACATAAATCGATGGTTAAAAAAGAAAATCAACATGGTTGCCTGAGGCAAGACTGCAGGGGTTGCAGGAAAAGACTGGAAACAGCATGAGGGAACATTCCAGGGTAATGAGAATCTTCTGTACCCTAATAAAGGAACCGGATGCACAGGTGTTCATATTTATCAAAAAGCAGAGAATGGTGCACTTAATATTTGTATATTTCCTTGTATATAACAATGGTGCACTTAATATTTGTATATTTCCTTGTATATAAATTTTGCCTTAAAAGCATAAATAAGCATTGAATTCTGTTAATTTGCATGCTTACTGTTTAGGGGTCAAGTCTGCTGATGTCTACAACTTACTCTGAAATGCACCTCCAAAAAACAGGTTAAAAGATGTATGAAGGGACAGACAGATGGAATAACATGTAATAAAAAAATATACAGCAAAAAAAAATGTGGTGGATATATGGGCATACACTACATAGTTCTTCCCACTTTTCTGAATGTTTGAAAATTTTCAAAAGAAAGCACTGAAAAATTACAAAGGCCACGTGACATATGCAAAATTCCATTCGGTGGGGGGAGTCACCTCAAAGAAATAAGCAGTTTTCACTCAGAGCAGCTCAAGTAAGAAACAAGACATCAATGTGACTGCCAATCAGGACAATGTAAACAGTGCACTGAGATGCATGGGCAGAGGAGACAGCAGTATTTCAACTAGAAGTACCCAAATTATAGATGCGCTTTGCGAGCCAGCTGTTTCTCACATGGGTGACCAGGTAGGGTAAATAACCAGCGAGGTCATAATAACTTAAAAACAGTTAATGATTCTCCCAAACAGTGAAGAGGCAAGCTAGTCTCAGGGGAGTCCTTTAAAGAGAATAAATTTTGTTTTATGAAAAACTCACTACATTGTCCATATTTTTTTCAGTTCACCAAGTATTCATGAAAACCTCCATGTGAACAAGGATGCAGCAACCACTGGGTATGGAGAGAGTCCTGGCTCCAAGAAGCTGAGTTCTAACCTTGACCCTGCCACTAACTAGCCACCTGTCCTTGATTGATAAGATGCTAAGTCTCTCTGGGTCACTTTGACTAAGAACTCATGAAAAACTAAATACCCTAGTAGCATATAAGGAGCAAAATGATAAATTTTCCAGGCTCTTAGAAGAGAATGGCAGCCTTCTCACAAACAGGGAACTATAAGGCAATCCATGGGAACTCAGCATTAATACTAGTTCATTAACACTAACCTGGTTTTAAGAAAGAGCGCTAGACATGACTCTGGTCCTCTCTCTGCCATTAACCAGCCACCATGGGAACTGGGCAAGTAAGTCCCTCAGACTCTCTGGGCCAATTTGACAAAAGAAGACTCAAAACAGAAGTGCAGAAACTAACACAGTATTGTGAAGTAATTATACTCCAATAAAGATCTATTAAAAAAAATAATAAATGCTCTCATCCCATCCAACCTTCTCAGAGATGCCCTTCAAGGCTCTGCACCCCAGGGTACAGGCCAGGAATGCCTAGCCCACCACCACTGGGCTGAAATCCTACTCATCTTTAAAGCACTTGTTCAGATGTCACCTGCTTTGAGAAGCCTGCCAGCCCAGTTGGTCACTCCCTGTACACTCTGCAATTAACCTATATTAGCGCCCTCACCACATTGGATGGTAATCATTTGTTTATCTGTCTTGTCTCCCAGACTGGACTTGGAGCTTCTGTGTGGTGCAATTCTGGCCTCATTGGAATTTGTACCACTCACCCAGCACTGTTCCTAGCACATGCTGGCACTCAAAGCATATGTGTAAATAAGTGCATTAATTAATCACTAAGGTCACTTCTAGCTCTAAAATGCTAGACTTGATGTTTTTAAGTGCAAAAGAAATCATGGGTGTAAAAATCTTTTTATTTAGTTGTTTTATGCTGTGTGTACGGTGCTGCGGACGTCGACATGATAAAACACGGTTCCTGTCCCCCGGTACCCCACAAATATGAAAGCTGGTAGTCACTGAGCAAGGGCAAAGCTAGAGCCAGTTCCGACTTCCCCCCTCACTTCCTTTCCTGCAGCTGCAGCTCTCTGCCTCCTTCCACATGAGCCTTAACTCCTGCCTCAAGCTGCGACCTCTGTCCCAGCTGGCAAAAGCGCAAAATTATAAGCCAACCACCCGCGACCTGCGGCCCACGACAAATCCTGGACACACACGCACACCCACACACACACACACACACACACACACACACACACACACACACACACCCCGCCCGTTATCTTGGTACAGCCGAACCGCCGCGCTGGAGAAGCAGGGGCGGTTACTCGCCGACACCTAGCTTTCTGCGCGGACCGTAGGGCCGTCTCAGAGAGCGCAGGGTGTACCTGCACGGCTCGCTGCTCCTTCCAGAGCTTCATCTGGTCGCTAGCTGGATCCCGGCTGTCCGCCATTATGTCTGGCGCTGCAAAACGCTGCAGGGCACCTCTACTCTCGCGTCTCCAGCCCCGCGGCTAAAATTGGCTACTTCAGACTCCGCCCCTCAGCTCCGGCCCCCCCCTTGTCCCGCCCCCCCTGGAAGGACCGCCTCCTGATTGGCCGCTCGAGCGCCAGGCGGGATGGGATTGGAAACCAAATAGGGGCGGGGCTGGAACTCGGAGGGGAGAGGTTGGGGAGAGGTTGGGGAGGGGTTGGTAAAGGTGGGGAGACCCGCGGCTCAGACCCCCTAACCTCGGGATTAAGGAACCTAGGGCCGGGGCCCCGAGTACCAGGACGTGACTCTCTCCTCGGTTCATCAGCATCCTTCAGGTTGCCCTGGGACGCAGCGGTTGGTGGACTGCCAGTTTTGTTGAGGGAAAGCTTAGGTCCTGCTGGGTGCGGCTTTGAACTCTGTAAATATGCTCTCAGCTCTTAAAAAAAAAGAAAAAGAAATTCTGGGTTGAGTTCATCTGTGCAAAATGAAGTTTTGTCATGTTCTAATGTTAATATTGTTTACAACTGAAGGATTGATGGAATTTGGAATAAATGCATACACTGATTCTGCATTTAAGTATGACCAGTGGTCACACTCTCAAATGTTGCATTATTTCTTCTTTGTTACAGATTATGCACAGAAAGACGTGCCTTTTTAAAAAACACAGAAAAGCAAAATATTGGCAAGTTCTAAATGATCTTAATAGTCTAAAATACATAGGAAGAAAATTCAACCTTTTAGACTCCCTTTTTGGTTCAGAAGCTCCCCATTTTTGAGTGTCTACTATGTGCTAGACACTGCTGATGGTTGCCAGACTCTATCACTTAATCTTCACAACAAAAAGACATTAAAGATCAATGAAGTCTCCCCACCATGACAGTATAAACAAGCATCAAGAGGTTGGCTTGCTCCTGATGTAGAATAATTAACTAAGTTAACTAAGATGCTCAAACCCACTATTTATTAGTAGAAATGCTGGCATAGAGTTTAGAAAATCTCTTCAGTAAGTTAATGGGGCTGATTTTTGAGGTGTTCGAGCAGTGCATTTTAATAAGTGAAATAGCAGAATATATTTTGTGACATTCCGGAAGAAAGTTGCTCAAGAGTTCAAAGATGCAAACAAGTTCTATGACTTATTTTATGAAAATATCTTCAGTTGGTGTTTTACTCATGTCAAGATGCTTAATTAGATGAAGTGTGAAAGGAGGACTTTCTTGTCCCCAGCTAGAGAGATTGTCTACAAAGTTGGAGACAATTGCCTTGGCATAATAAAGCTAGGGAAAAAATGGGACTCCTAGACCTCAACAGAGATCTGTACTCCTACAACTTCTCATCCTGAGGCCACATCATAGATTTTTCTTCCACTCTGTGAACCTCCCACTCATAGGGCATCACACTTATTCTTCAGATCTTCCCTTCCCTCAGTTGTTTCCATCCTCGTGTGGTCAGGGATTGCCTTATTCCAGACAGGCTGTCACTCTTTTCTTTTACTTGTGGGTTCATATCACTTTTTATGCTTGAGCTTGTCTTTGAAATGTTAGCATACTGTTAGGGCTCTAGTTCAGTCACATTTGTATGAAAAAGGATTTTTGTGAATAGAACTGGAAATCTAACCACTGTTTATAACATTATTTGCATGAGAATAAGTCTTTCAAGTTGAAATTAAGTGAAAGGAGCTAGGGAGGGCTACCAAAACTTTTTGCCAAGTCACATTACGCTTACCAGACCTGTTAGAAAACCCTAAAGTAAGAAATAAAAACACAGGGCCCGTAGACAACTTCCAAGTATTCAATAATGTACATGATTTCTCCAGTGGTTCTGTGTAAATCTCATCTCCTGTACCCACTGATGCATATGTCTCCTTATTTTAAAGGCCCTTTGTTTCCTGGGCCTCAGCTACTCAGCGGTAGGACTTTTGATTCTTTCCAGTTTTCACCATGAGTTGAATCAAATGCAATTCCCTCTCCAGATCATCGCTTAACTTATCTGCTTCTCTTGAAAAGTAGGCATTTTTTTGTTTGCCCCTCCAGATCCACTCTCCACCCTTCTCGATCCTCATCTGTACTCCAGGAATCTTGATTTTTATCATCCACTTGTCCCCATGATACCCTGCCTTCTTGTTGAGTTCAGCCAATGGTGGGCCGGCACGAGATGGGAACTTAGGAGGAGAGAGGGGCCAAAGTATTCATTACATCAGCTCCGAAGTCGGATTTACCACGAAGTTAATGAAGCTTAAATTTTAGAGTTCCTCACCTACACACGTTCCTTCCAAGCTTCTGAGAGGTGTCCTCACAATGTGCTTACGTGCAATGTGTTTTCATAAAATTAGAGTGAGATATTTAACCATGATTGAATATGACCTCAGTCTCTTTTGATTCTGAATTCCCCTCCATCACACTACCTCTCTTATCAGGTGTCATTGGAGTGACTAGTTATTTTTGGCATTCTGTTAAGGAGACATTGAGCTGGAGATTCATTTAGTTGGGTTTAGTGGAATACAATTAAGTGACTTGCAGTCTCTTCCATTTATAGTTAGTTATTATTCATAAAGTTTCACAGGCTAGAGAGTGGCAGAGTTATGTCTGACTCTGATACCAAGTATCTATGTGGCCTTTTCTCTGTCTGGTGAGCCTCACTGAGCCTTTGATTCCTCTGTCTAAAGGCACAGTAGTCCATCCTCAGCCTCTTGCCAACGTTTGACACTTTTCTCACCTCCAGCACACTTTGTTGTCTTGTCACTTTGTCTTTATCTCCCACCACTGCCCTATCTGTACTCCACACTCCACTAAGCTAAGATTCTTGACTTTGTTGAACCTTGCACTGCTCATGCTCTTCCCTTGGCCAGAAATGGTCTTCCCTAATCACACTTGCTTAGGTTCCTATTAATTTCTTGCCGGTTTGACATTAAAAAAATGATGGGTTTTCCCTGGTGGCGCAGTGGTTGGGTGTCCGCCTGCCGATGCAGGGGACACGGGTTCGTACCCTGGTCCGGGAAGATCGCACAAGCCGCGGAGCAGCTAGGCCCATGAGCCATGGCCGCTGAGCCTGCGCGTCCGGAGCCTGTGCTCCGCAACGGGAGGGGCCACAACAGTGAGAGGCCCGCGTACCAAAAAAAAAAAAAAAAATTTGAGAGATGTGTCAGACTGTTAATGAAATATTATGCTATTTTGGGGGGATTCTGTGATGTGTATGGTACTTATCAGATTATTCAAGTTTCTAAGTTGTGATTTCTTTTACCATTGTAAATAAAGGTTGATTTTTGTGCCTAAGTATATGTTCTTTTCCTTAAAGAAGCAGTGCAAATTATATAAGCTTTGAATCCCACAGGATCGGGATCCATTCCTACCAAGCTCACTGCCGGCCTACCCTGCCATGATTCCTTGATTTCTTGGAAGCAGCCATTTCCTACAGCTACAGGTATAATTGGTTCCAGAAACCACTCTTTTTCTTTGCCTCTTCAGACCCAAGAATTGCACAGCCTACCTGACAGTCACAGGTGCTTCTCCCTTTTTGTACAGTCTCTTCATGAAAATTTCCACAATTTTCCCTTCAGAGTGTGCTATTTTTTGCAGGAATTCTGACTGATACAAATCATAAAAAGCAAAATAATGTGATGCATCTTATTTATTTATTTTTTATTGAAGTACAGTTGATTTACAATGCTGTATTAGTTTCAGGTGTATGGCAAAGTGGTTCAGTTATATATATATATATGTGTTATTACAAAATATTGAGTATTGTTCCATGTGCTATATAATAGGTCCTTGTTGGTTATCTATTTTTTATACAGTAGTGTATATATGTTAATCCCAAACTCCTAATATATCACTCCCCCCCTTTCCCCTTTGGTAACCATAAGTTTGTTTTCTATGTCTGTGAGTCTACTTCTCATCTGTAAATAAATTCATTGGTATCATTTTTTTTTAGATTCCACATGTTAGTGGTATCATATATTTGTCTTTCTCTGTCTGGCTTACTTCAACGTGATGCATTTTAAAGGACACATTCTGTAGATATTACAGCACTGTGTTGGACAATACTTGTCCAACCAGCATGGTACAGGGCAGTAGTTCTCAAACTTTTGATCTTAGAACCCATTTACACTCTTAAAAATTATTGAGGACTCCCAAGAGCTTTCTTTTGTTAATGTTAGAAATTATTGAAGCATCCAAACAGAAGAACTAAGAATATTACTAATATTAAAATTCTTTAATTTGTAATTTGTTTATGAAATAAATAATAGCTGTCTTTGAGTCACTTTGGAAGTTAGCTAATGAGATGTCAGTATGGTCCACGTGAATGTTAATAGAAGCCAAGTTCCATGGTGTTGAACCTCACTTCTGAAGGCACATATCAGAAAAATAAAGAAGGAAAAAAATGACAATATATCTAACTATGACTTATTTATTGAGAAATTAATATGCATATTGGAACTCTCAATCTCAACATTGCCAAGATAGAAGGTGATTATGATGAGGCAAGCTTCCTTGGAAAATTGCAGTGGTTTCCAACTTTCCATTGGCTAGGAAATGAAAGAATTGCAAACCTCAAAGAGACTTGACATGAATATTTTGAGCTCTAAAACAGAAAATTGTGAACAAAAAAATATTATTAAATACTGAGGGCCGAAGTCCTCGTATTTTTGAGAACTGAATTTAGAAAAAACAATCCCTCTGCTGCTTACTGGCTGACCTGAACTAAGGGCAGGGATGGCTTTTGTAACTCTCCCCACCCTTTCTGGAACATGACCAGCCCATTGGGCAGTCTTATTATAGAACGCACAGTTAAACTGGCTCCCTGGGGGTGGAGCTGAGGCTGCACTTTGCCAGTCTGAGAGTAGTGTGCACCAACAACACAATCCCTGCCTTTCATTAGTTTTTCCTGGGGCTTGATCTTCTATCTGAACCCACAGAAAACTGCCACTGGCATGGGAGTGGTGATGGTGGTAGGTGCCAGGGGGAAGGGGGAAGAAAAAGCATCAGGATCCACTGGAGAAGCCAGTTATTTTTAAGTGGGACAACATTAATACAATAGACATCTGTTCCATTGAGAAAAGACCTTTGTTTAACGTATGGAGCTTTCAGTATAAAT